TTGCGTTATCAGTTGGCAGTAGCTGCCACTCCACTCCGTGCACCACCCCATTGTGCCTACGCGGCCCACTGTGCACGGTGGGGCTGGAAAGGGGTAACAGGCACAAATGTCATTTGCCTGCTGTGCCGCTTTGTTTACGTGCTGCTTCTTCGTCGTCGCTTCCGTTTGATTTGGCAGCTTTATGATATGGGGGCCCCAAAGGATTTTCACGCCTCCCAAAACAAAAGAAGTACTCTTCTTTGGCACTCGAAAACAAAGCACTCAAAAATCAGTGCCATAGGCAGCATTTTAATAAGGGGGATCTGCGTTCGTAATAAGATGATGTATATAGTGTTAAATATTTCGTTGCATATCCTTTTTAAAATGTAAAAATAATTAATACCCTTTTAAATTTTTAATGCACAAATTAAGAAAAAGTCTTTTGAAGAAGGCAGGGGCTCTCTGTCCCCCCTTCGCACGCCCCTGTGATAAACAACACCAACTGTTGGATGGTCCGAGGAATCCCACTCGCTCTGTGCTCATTTCGTTTTAATTGCGTCAAATTGTTGAGTTCTCTTCGGCTCTCTTCAGAATCCCCTGCCACGCCCCCAACCAAAAGTTAACTCCCCCTGCCCGCTGCCCATGTCCGTGCCGCATCGTTGTTGCCTTTTTGTTTACACTCGATGGCCGCAATGTGGCGAAAAATAAACACACACACTCGCACACGGGCACACACGCGGAGAAAACTCTTACGCACATGGCATGAAAATTGGAAAAGTGGGAAAAGTAGAGGGGGGATCTTTTCGATTGCCCAAAAACGAATGGGGAAGTGCAGCTGGATGAGTCTTAAGAGGGCGGGGGGGCTACGAACGGGGAAGTGCCGCGCGACAATGGCAACAATTCCTAGCTGTTCTACACTCAGAAAAAATGCTGGTAAATCCAAATAGATGTAAATAATTTCCATAAATTTGAAAAACTTTTAACAAAAAGCAAAGAAAATAATTTAGATGGTTTCCAAATTTATATTTTGTAGGTGATTCTAACAGTAATTTTCTTCTACTTGTTGAATTTTTTTATTTTTAATATTTTTTATATCTCAAACAATTTTTGTTTTTGTAAGTGTAAGGAAAAATATTTAAATATTTACCCATAGGCACAGACTTCTTGTCGTCTGCAGTGAGTTAACCCGCTCCTTTACTTTGACGCCCTTGCCCATCCATTCAATTCCCCAAACTCCCAAAAATCCCCCGTTTTATCCATCACATATCACCCAATTCCTTCGAGTACAAATAGTGAAATAGACCGGGAGTTATGGAAATCCCTGGATGAGGGAATCTTCTCATGATTTTTATTGTCCCTGCATGGCATATAATCCCCGGAGAGGGATGTTGGGAATTGGAGGAGAAGCGTGGGTCTCCAGGGAGGGAAATAAACCCATCAACGACAATGAAATGTCGCGAACGATGCAGGAATTGCAGCAAAACAGAAGCATACACAAAGGAAAATATATACATATAAAAACAGTAAAATTAAAGTGTAAATTAAATATTACCAACATAATTTTTAACAAAAAAAAATGAGATTTTAAAATATTTCTAAGTTTTAAACAACATTTTTAGCTATTACTTTTTTAGAACCAAGGTCATAAAAACATCAACAATCCCAGACTAAGGAATAAAAATAAATTCATCTTCATGACTCCCTATAAAAAAAGTCCTCCGTACATAAAAAACAAATTTACATACGCTCAATAAATGGTTAAATCACAATTGCTTTCAAATCAGTTGTAAATATCGAACACTTCAATTTACTGGTCATAAAAAAAAGGAGAACCAAACGGGAAAGTGAACAACAAAAGCCATACTCAAATAGATAGTACCCGACCCATTTCCATTTGGTGTTTTACTTGTCTTTCGAACACTCACGCGATGTTCAATGCAACTCGTAAAAAATCAACATATGCAACTGAAAATCACATAAAACGTATCTCAAAGAAAGGAAAACTCGTGGTAAGAGGTAGGAAATGCAGGGAATTATCCACTATCGATTCACTCTTGATTTTGTCACTGGCCATTATGATAATCACTAAAATTCCATAACTTTAATAGCCTCATAAGTTTGCCACTTTTTCCATGTCAAACGTGATCTTTCTCCGATTTAGCAGCATAAAAAGGACTAACCGAAGAAGAAATTTTGACAATAGTTGTATTTAAAACTCATATAGGTATTTATACCGTTGTCCAACAATTTTTTCCTAGTTTTATTGTCCCGAAATAGCAGAAATAAGTGGAAGCCCTGCAAATTTAGCTCATATTCCCATCGCCTGTCAACACATATGATTTTATCTGTTGATCTATTATTTCAATCCGACATATTTCAAGTAGTTCCAACTCTTTTTACGATTTCCAATGTTTTGTCGTTGATTTTATGGGCATTTAATGTGCCATAAAATTGGACAACAAAGAGAGGGAGGCTTTCGAAATGAGGGTTTTTTTGTTTTTTTTTTTTTGGTTTTGGGGGAGTTGTCATCTGTTTGATTTCAGTTTTGGGTCCGATTTGGATGCATTGGCCTGGTGCATCGACATTGAACACCTTTCGATGTTCTCAGGCATTTGTTTGCATTTCGGGGGAGTCAAAAGAGCAGTCAAATCAATCGCTTCAGTTGTTGTTTTTGCTGTTGTAGCTGTCATTACTGTGTAAACAAGTGACATCTGGTCATCCTCCCCCCTTTTTGATCCCCCGTCCGTGGATGAGTGCACGCCTCTGTTTGCCATTGGATAGCATATAGCATAGGCAGCCAGCAATTGCAGATGCATCTATATATGTGCGTGCTTTTATATTTACGGAGGGGCCAAAACAATAGCAGATCAAATGTTATGTGTTTTCTTATCAAGCTGTCTAAATAAATTTCATGTTTTTGTATAGGTACATATAAATTGATTTCCGAATCATTATGTATGCACCATAAAGATTTATTGTTTTTTTTTTGTCGCAAACACAGGTCCTATCTATAAATCTCGAAATGGGGGAAAACTATCCAAATTATTTTTTTTTTAACTAATTTTAGTAAGTTTAAAGCACAAAAAATATCAGCAGTTTGCAATTTCTCGACTTTAATTGTGTTTTCCCTTAAAAATAGAATATCGAAAATATCGAATGACAAAAATTTAGAGTGCTATTTTTTTGACCCCTGCTGTGCGCCTCTATCTAGGCGTTTGGCATTAATGGGCGATTGTCTGGCCCAGTAAGCAGCCGCATCTACATCCACATCCACCAACTTTTCCACCAGCAGAAGCTGCATTCTGGCCAGCCACTTGGCCTTATCTACCAGATACAATCTGTGGCATTCCGCGCAAGAAAATTAAGCAATGAAAAGAAGGGGCAGGCAGACCCAGCAACAGCAACAACAACATCAGAAATATTTAATTAAATGCTTAATTACGCTTGCCATGCCATAAATTCATCAAATGCAATTTAAGCCCGCGCACACGAACAGATGCAGATACTTTTTTGTATCTTCCTCTAGTCTCCACTTTAACCATTCCGTATCGGTGTCTCGTTCGCCGCTTTTCATTCATTGGAAAGTTCAGTTGAACTGCAGTTGCAATTGGAGTTGGTCCATAATTTTACCCCTCGTATTCCTTAACTGACATAAATCGCAGCCGTCCTGGCGGCACTTTTAGATCATTAATCCATGCAAGATCAGCAAGAGATCGGAACAGAACAGAACAGCGTTCGCGGAACGGCCTCTAAGATCCTCTAAAAGGGGGGATAACCTTCTATGGATCCCATCTAGATCTACGCTTTTGATAGGTCAGAGTTGAAACAGAAGCATGGTGGCGAGAATCTCTTTGAATTCTATTGTGTTTGCCTTTCTTGAAGGTAGATTTATTTTCCTCTGATGAAATAAGTAAAATTCTCTGTATTCCTTTTCGAGATTGCGCAATCCATTCAATTACGCCTCAATTGATGGCAAATGCATCTGATCAACTGCTTATCTGATCAGCTCCAATTAGCCATGATATATGTATCTATATAGCCCGATCCGTTGAACTCCACTGATTTGGCAATTCAATTCGATTGCCATTCGAGGGCCGGGTAATCCATCAAACTGCCTGCTGCCTACTGATCCCAATGAACCGAACGCTGGGAAATCAGGGGTCAGGTCACCGAGCTCCATTGGCTCCATGGGGGGTTCTTGGGGAGGGGGCGTTGCAATTGACAAATTTCGAGCGATCGGAAAATGAAAACGAAATGCGAGCAATTACTTTTAATTGAAAATGTCAAACATTGTCTTGGCCCGCAAGTGCACACTGAGCGATAAAGTGTACAATTAAAATAAGACATTTAGAAGAATTAAATACAACTAAATGTATCTAAATTAAAATTTATGGATATAAATCTTTCAGTAGCTGAATTTAAAATATATTATTTTTTATTTCCTTAGAATAGAATAATTTACAAGATGGACTTAAATAACTTGCAACACAATATTTCTATGTACAATTAAAATAAGATATTTAGAAGAATTAAATAAAACTTAATTTATATAAATTAAAATTTATGGATATAAATCTTTAAGTAGCTGAATTGGAAATATATTGTTTTTTATTTTCTTAGAATAGAATAATTTACAAGATGGACTTAAATAATTTGCAACACAATATTTCCAATCAAAATAAATAGATTTTCAGCAGTGCCCCCAGCTAGCCGATACTCGGATATTGAGATACAAATACGCCGTCGGATATTTGTATACAAATCTATATCTAAAGTCGAGCACTTGAGGGCCGTACGCAAGCACCTTGGGCGGAAATGCGATAACCCTGAGTGGGCGGGGAAAAAGCGGAAAGTCGGAAAAGCGGAAAATGGGAGCGCGCACATGTTGGGCGCCTTTTAGAAGATTTTCGGTTTGCCTTTGTGTTGGCCATTGCTGGGGATAGGAAGTGGATGGGTTTTGGTGGAGGAGGGGTGAAGGAAATTGGAAAATGGAAAGTAGGAAAAGCCCATCAGACACTTACCGGATAACATGGGCGCCAAGGCGGTGTCCGTCGGCGGATGATGATGTCCATTGAAGGAGCTGTTGTGCGACTCCTGTTGCTGCTGTTGTTGTTGTTGCTGCTGTTGGTCCTGTTTGAGGGCCGCCGATTTTCCAGGCACACAGCCCACAATGGGCTTCTTTGATTTCCACAGTTTCATTTTGAGTTTTCTTTTCTGCCACTTCCCATCCAAAAAAAGTGGGAAAACGCGATCTTTACGATTTTCCACAACTCATGGCAGATTTGGCATTTTCACAGTAAAAAAAAAAAGGATTAAAAATAAAAAAAATAATAATTGCACAGTTCGAAATCGAGGGGGGATTTCAAAATCAATTCGCTTTCCAATGGAAATTGGGAAATTCCGAAATTCAACGCCTGCGACGGCGACTGCGATGCGACTGAACCTGAACGATGCGCGCACGTCCGCGGAACACGGCCCGAAATTGCACAATGAGCGATCTTGCCGCCAGTCCCGCTCGCTCTTTCTTTGGCCGCGAGAGCGCACCCACTTCCCCCTCCCCCTCCCGGCGGACGACAGGGCGCACGCTCTGCGCTCAAAGAATTTCTGGGCGCCGCACAGTGGGTGTGCTTCTACAATAAGCGATAGAATATCATGTCTATTCTAAAGAAATATATCTCTCCCACTGACAAAAAAAACATTTTAATGTATATGAATAAAAAATTTAATTTTAATGTATCACATTTTAAAGGGGTTTACCATTCATAATTTCTGTTCCTAACATTACATATTATTAGATAAAAGTTTAAATATTTAAGTATATACAAAAGTAGGTTTCAAATTAACGAATTTTCTATTATTTAAATACTTTGTAAAGAAGAGGAACTTATTTTCAATTATTTCGGAACTATAAAAATTCTACACAGAGAAAAAAAGACCAAAAATTGTCATCAATGTGGTATTTTTTCATATCAATTTCGGTCCCATCTGGGTTCATATCAAAAAGATATTTCCGAACATATGATTTTGTACCATATTGATATGAAATGGTACCATTTTGTTATGGAAAAAATGATATGAAACAATATTAGTTCCATATTTTTCCGTTTTTTTTCTCTATGTAGAAAGAAACTCTCCTGTACCAATTTATTGAATTTTTTGCTTCTATTCCATAGCTAAATGATATTATGCCTGCTTAAATTCGAGTCTTTCAAGTGATCGTAAAATTGTCCTTAAATCCATTTTGTCCTTTTAGTTTCTAACCACAAATATGTGCCAGGAGGCCCACAGTGCAGCTCTCTCTCTCGCTCTGCCGTTTGGATGCGTGACTCACACAGACACTCGTGTGGAGAAAAGGAAATGGAAAGGAAGAGGAGAGAGAGTGACGCGTAAGTGGAGCACTTTTTGGGGAGTTTGGCGATTCGCGAGAGAAGCACGCACTCTCTTTCGCTCTGCCTCTCGCATGAGAGTGGCCCATTGGGGGGAGCACTCAAATCAGAGCCCGCCACTCCAAAAGCACCGTTATGAGCCCGCTGATGAGCCGCAGGCATGACAATCAGCTGCTTCTGTTAACCGTTAAGCGGTGGCCAAGAACGGGGGGCTCTTAACCCATGACCCCAAACACTAAACAACAGTGGCGAAAAAAAAAACTAAATGCCCCCAAACGGGTGTCGCGAATTTGCTAATTAGTCACGAAAAGCGCGACGGCAACTGCTCGAAATGGTCAACAAAAACAGGACAACAAAAAAAGCAAAATGAACCAAATTGGCAACACGCAACCAGCGGAACATCTGCTAATGACCACAAGACAACAGCTGCTATTAGCCGTGCACTCCTGCGATACCTCAAGGCCCAATCCAGATCATATAATACCAAAGGAAACCCTATATTAAAATCAAAACCTAATTAAATTGTACTTACAATCCAGATAATGTACCTAACCCACATAAAGAACTTTCTAAAAATTAACAAAATAATGTACTTCATTTCCAGAAATGTAATTTTATTATATTCTATTTCTTGTAAGATGTTCGGAAAATAATATTTTTAACCATATAATATAAAATCTCAAGAAAGTTCTTAAGCTTCCTTCCCAATAAAAATTGAATTTTCACTTATTATTTATCAGCATACATACACACAAAAAAAAAACTTGGTAAAATCAACTGTAATAATTGTCAAACAGGCCCCAACCAGCAAAATTGTCAATTCTACTAAGTAAATAGTCACTTTCACAACAACAAATACACACAATTAGCAAGGACACAAACCCAAAGCAAAAACAAAATACACGTAACTATTTTAATAGTTACGCAACTATCTTTGTTGGTCAATTTTACCAAGCAAATTTTTTTGTGTGTATGTACATATGCTGTTCTGTTGTATTTTTGTAAGGCTGGAATGTTGTTTACATATCATGTCAATGTTGCGATCAATCAGTTTTGGGCAAAGTAAATATATCAACGGATATTTACGCCAGATGCGCCCGATACCAAATCTTGACCCCGAGGGCAATGACATGAATTTAATTTCCCTCTCGTTCACCTATTAATACGTTTACATTAAATCCTCTTTAATTGCAAGTACAAATGTGGCCACCTTTTAGGTTAAAGCTGCGGATTTACGGGTGATTCGGTGAGTTCCGTTCCGCCAGGAAATAATATTCCGCCCCTCTATGCAGACATATATATTTTATTTTTATGCGATTCCCTCTTCCGTGTTAAATGCTTTCTTCCTCTTTTCCTCGGTGGCGCGGGGGTTTTATGTCTTTAATGACCTCGACTAATGATCGAAGCTGATTGATTCAGCAGAATCGTCGAAGGCACTCTCCAAGTTTGTCTGCATTATTTTTAGATCCTCACGCCTTATATACGTATATCCCCCATTCCCCTCCCACCCTACGAAAAATTTAATTCCCAGTCCAAGGTGTCACTGCAGGCGGAGGAGAAAGCAGAACGGAGAGCGACTGATTGACGAGTGCCGAGAGTATCGGGGAAAACTAATGCGACACATGGGAAATATCGGCTGAGAGCACTATGGCAACTTTTCGTAGCACACCTCCAGGCTGATTAAAAATGTGAGCACAAAAAAAATACCACTTGGTCGTGATAGGAATAAAAGTAGGAAACAAATAGAGACATACAAAGTACATAAGGAATTTTAGGATCCCACTGTACCGAAATATCATGAACTGTTCCTTAAACTCACATCTTTCTCCGTCATTCTTTCATGTGAATCATTATACCACTGCTCCGGTTAACGGTTATCACTGTGGATATCAAACACGTAGTGAGAAAATGCATGCTTAAATACACACATAAAAATGCTTGGTCTCCGTTTTAGAAATTTGTCATTATTATCGAATTTTATAAATTTTTACATACATTTTTACATAAATATTTTTTTTTATAGAAATTTTTAGAAAAATAGGCTTACAAAAAAAGTATGTATATTTTTGATACTTCTTTATTAACTTTTGGTTATTAAAGCTGCCTTCGTTACCATTTTTTACCTCTTCTAGAGTTGTTTTTGTTTGATAGTATTGCTCTCTCACGAACAAAAGCTTGGTTAACAGTTAAGAATAAAGGAATAGGAGTAACAAAATTGCCCATGTGAATGGAATGAAAAATTGACTTTACTCCAGTTCGTGTGAAAACTCAGTGAAATGTTTTCGCCCGCTATATTTAATGCAGTGTTATTTAGTGTTATAGTGTTCCATATAGCCCAAGTACGATCTGGTTTATCAGCCGAAGAAGTACCCGGAAATCCAAGGGCAGCCCAACTTCTTCCCACCGCCTGTCGCAATGGGTTAAATGGCAGTGCCGCTGGTCCGGAAATCCATCTTCCATTTGTGGATATGATGGTGCGCCACGAAATGCCACTCTTTGTACTCCGCGAACCGGAAGAGGATTTACTGCTGCTGCTCCATGGACCCGAGATTTTCCAACTGCACGTGGCCACCGGCGAGCGACGTCTGGTGCCCCTTGGCAGTTTGGCGGGTCAGGTGAAGGATCGCAGGGCGCTCGGTGCAGAAATCGTGGCCTGGCGGCAGTTTCTGCTCCTTTCCATCGTCCTGGAGGATTCGCTGGAGGTGTACCAACTGCCCAAGGACCTGCTGCTCTCCGAAGATCCCGCCACGCAACTGAGTTTCGAGCCCCTGCAGGAGTTCTCGCTGCCAGGAGGATTCCTTCAGCTCCACCTACTGAAACCCAGCGCCGAACAGGTGCTCCTGCTGGTGGCCTCCAATCATACCAGGTCGCACAGCAAGTGCAGGTGAGGATTACTCGGTTTTTCTTTAAATATTAATTTTTTGTAAGTATTCTAAAAATGGATTTTAAGCTAAAACAAGAGAGAACGCAATAGTCGGGTTGGTGTCCAGACTATCTAATAGGGAGATGGATATATAAAATTTTTTTGATTGCGCATAACTTTTTAATGAATGGTCCGATTTGAAAAATGTCTTCCAGATTTCGATAGGTATAAATATACACAACAAAATTGCATTTATACTTTTCGGAAATCTTTAAAGGTGTGGGCGCCAGACACATTTTCATTTTACTGTACGAGTAACGGATATAAATATTGTAAATAACGAATTATATTGTTTAATAACCATGATGACTTTTTTACAGAACATTTGAGTGGCTGGACACTTACTTTAATCCCCTCGAGGAGATCACTTTACCCGCCATTCGCGCTCTCCAAGTGGTCGGTCGTCAGCAGCTGTACATTATTTTTGGGCGATCTTTAAGGGGCTCTCAATCGAAGGTAAAATAATTCTTTAAATATTATTATATTTAATTCCCTCTAAAATTGTATATTTTAAATAATTTTATAATGTTCTTTTCAAGATGGTGCTCACTGTCTACGAACTGGATAGGAGCACCCGCACTTTGCAACATCGCCAGGCCCTGACGGTTCAGGCCCAAAGTGTCCAGGCTGCTAGATTCCGTGGCCGGAACTGCCTGATCGCCTGCAGTTCCTCATCATCCGCCAACTGCATTTTCTTCCGCATGGTGGATGGTCAATTTGTGGTCTATCGAAAGCATGCTCGCAGGGATCTGAGTTTCCATCGGTTGAGTGCCACCAAAAGGGGTGAGCTCCTAATTGGAGCCCGTTCCAATGGCGAGGTGATCGTCTTCGGCTCAACCCGTCTGGATTGCTTTAGTGGATTTCAGGTGGTTGGAGAATCGGAACCGAGTGGCCTTCTAACCCATCGAAACGCGAGAAACGAAAGCTTTCTGCTGTTGGCCTATCGAGGAGCCACCAGCGATCTTATTCGAACAGTACAGCTGGGTAAATTGGAGGAAACCTCCAATCAAGTGGGCGCTGCTCCGGAAGAAGGTCAGTTAATAGGTTATCCCATATATCATATCAATCTGTAACCACCTTTGCAGATCTTAGTGTGGTCCAATTGCATCGTCACGAATTCGAAGAGTCCATCAATGCCTTACGTGGGCTGCTCCTGCGCCGTCGTTCCCCGCTGGAAACCCTGAGAAACCTGATCAACTCCTTGAAGCTGAGATCTGTTATTCACCTGGAGAAACCACTGCATCTCCATGAAAAAGGACACATTGAACGGCTCCAGCTGGTGGACGATCAGCTGCGCACTCCCACTCAATTGAAGCAGCGTCTGGAGGAGCTTCGTCAGCGATATGAATCCAGGAGAACCACAAGATCTTTTGGGACAGCCAATGAAAATGATGCCGGAGATAAACTCAAAGTGCGACGATTGCGAGTGGGTAACCTCATCTACCAGGGACAGTTGATGCCAGGTGAGTGGGGAAAGTCAGACAAAATATATGTTTTTTTTTTTTTTTTTTATATCCCAGCGCTACAAGTGCACACTTGTAATTATCGCGCTAGTCACATTGAGCTGATATTTTTAACTTATTATTATTTTAATTTATTTATAATTTTTTTTTTTTTTTTATTTAAAATTTATTTCCCCGTCCAAAAGATCACATCCTGGATACTTCTGAGCCACCTTTGCTGACCATCAGAAACAGTCGACTGCTGACCAAAACACTAAAAACGAAGCAACTATTGACCCCGCAGGATTACCACAACTCCAGTGCATCCCCGATTCCTAAACAGCCCACTACTAATCGCAGTGAATGTGTAGTGCGTCACCTGAATATCGAACAGATCAATGGAGTGATTTGGAATGACTTTTTGGACTCCCTCTTCCTGCGCAGCCGCGACACTCGGTTAAGTGGAAAACTGGTGATGCAATCGAGAACCCGGGTGAACAGTCTAAAGACGACTCTGCTCAACGGACTGGTGGTGGATCGTCTCTTTAACCTGCGACGTGCTCAGGTGATCAGTTCGGATATCTATATGTCTGCCTTTTTTGCCCCTCGTCTTGAGGCTCGGCGGGTGAATGGCTTGGATTTTGCTCAGGATGTCCTCTATCGCGGTGGCAATGCTAGCTGGGTGAAGAGTAAGTTTCCCTCTTGGATAAGCTAATCAATAGATATTAAGAGTTCTTAACCTTTTTCAGCTCCTGTTCGCATCAATCAGATGAGTGTTTCGGGTGACATTGTGGTGGCCAATCAGGGTAAATTCAAGAAACAGTCTAGACAACCCGAAGAATCAGAGGAGCAACGTCTGCAGCAGTACTACACGGGCAGGGTTACGATCCGTGGCTCACTGACGGTCAGAAATGTTCAGAGGGATACGGCGAACTCACTCGTAGTGCTGGGCAACCAATCTCTGGCCAAGAATGATCTACATTCCAAGTACCTCCTCAACCAGACGCAACAGGTTAGTGGGCTTCATCTTTCACTGATTTTTAATAACATTCACATACCCTCTTAGAACCTCTCCAATTTGACCTTTGGAGATGCCAGAGTCAGTGCTCCTTCACTGACCACCAACTTCATTGAAGGACATCCCGTAAGGGATCACCTGCTCAGCGGTGGACAGCAAAACATTCACACCCATCCAAATCGCACTCTACACATCATTTTCATGAATGCCACCGTACAGGGTGATATTATTTGCAGGGACTACGTCTCCCGGTTGGCGGAGATCGCCAAGGATGCAGTGCGTCATGGACAGGAGGCCAATATCACGGGTCACAAGCGCTTCCAGGCACCTCTAACCGTTCAAAGCATTCGAACCGATCAAATAAATGGGTTACCCATAACCCAACTGGTACTCAAATCGAACATCACCCAGAATTTCAAGGGAACGAAGAGCTTTGCCCGCTTGGTGGTGACGGAAGATCTAAAGGTTCGGAAGCACTTGAATGTGAGTCGTCTTAATGGATTGCCACTGCAACAGCTTCTTGGTCATGATGTTAGCCTGCAGCGTCTCGAACTGACGGAAATGCCACATCTGGAGAACCTCCACTTCCGGCGACTCAATGGATTGCCCTTCGATGAACTGCTGTCCACGATCTCCGAGGGAAATGACCAGCCGCTACTGCTCCACAAGCAACTGCTTATCGAGGGAAATGTGCGATTTGAAAAGGCTCTGCAGCTGCAGGACATCAATGGAATCCACTGGGAGGATTACCTGAGTCGCCTGGTAAGACCCGATGCGAATGCTGAGCTGCGGGGAAGGAAGACCTTCCTGGCGGATGTCCAACTGAACGATGCTCTTCATACTCCCCACATAAATAATCTGGATCTCAGCTCCCTGCTAGATAATACCCTGCTACGAATGACACCCCAGCAAATTAGTGGAGTCTACAGCTTCGAGCGAATGATGGCCACCAATGTGGATGTGAGCCGAATAAATGGGGTACCAAAGGAAGAGTTTATAGACACACGGAAGGATTTGGAACTGAAGGGGGATCTCTACCTGAAGCAGCTCAACATCAGTGGCAGCCTAAAAGGCACCTTTGCCAAGGACCCAGGACTAAGTGATCTTAAGGAAAGAGTAAAGCGAGTGCAGCAACTTCCCTGGCGGAATCTAATAGTCACCGTCGATGCTCTGTGGGATGAAGGTGCAGGCCAATCCCAATCACCACTGGATTATCTCCGCCAGCATGCCGTAAGAAAGGTGGGAAATCAGACGATTACAGGACATGTGCTCCTAAAAGAACCCCATTTCAAGAACCTCCAAAGCGAGCAGTCCCTGCCCATCGAACTCAACCTTACTTACTTGGCCGAAGATGCCCTACTGCGACGGAGTGCCACCAACGAAAGCCAGGTGATCCTGGCTCCCCAGAAGCTGCTGGGATTAGTTAGGGCCGGAAGCCTGCATCTCGAAAAGGATGCACACTTTGGGCTGGTGAACGGAATCGATATTGAACGACTCAATGCCTCACTGTACCGCCTCTCCAGTGGAGAAGCCATTGCAGCGGATCTTCACTTCCTGCAGTCGCCCCGGATTGGTAAACTTCAACTGGAGGTTCCGGAAGTGAATGGGCATCCAATTGAGAGCATTTACCAGCAGGGCAAAGGGCAATCCTGGCCAGCTGTGAGGTTCAAACAACTGGTCGTTGAAAAGGATCTCAACCTGGGAAGTGTAAACGAGATGAGTCTGGACTACTTCCTGCAGCACCGCATAACCTTGAGAGGACCTGCTTTGGAGGTATTTGGATCCCTGAGCTTCGAACATCTCCAGTTGGACGGTCGACCGCTCCTTCGTTCCATCAATGGCATTCCGTTGGACAATGTGGTGTTTCGACACAGCAATCAGGCGCAGAGCATCACGGGTGTGAAGACCTTTCATGGAGGTGTGCACTTCACAGGACCCGGACATGTGATGAATCTAAATGGTCGGGATCTTAGCGACAGCTTTAGGGGCAGCATCTTCCGCAACAGAGACTACAATATCGATAGTTTGGTTCTTGACAGAGCCAGCTTCCCAGGAGGTCTTGTTTTGGCGGGAAGTCAGAGTCCCAGTCGAATGCGAACGATGGAGGTCCCTCAAGAAAATCAGTTGGAGGAATTGCAGGAGCTTTTAACATTGGGTAATCAAAGCTCTTACAAGAGACTTCTTTACCTCGACCATGATCTTGAAACTCTGGAATCTACTTGGGTGAAACCGCCGCTAAGGGGATCTCCCGAGGATCCCGAGGCTAACCTTCCCCTAGGCGACGCTGCTCCCTGTCAGCGTCGCAGTTTGCAGGCTCATCTTCGGATCTCCCAGCGCCTTGTGCTCCTCGCCAATGTCAGTGTGTCCAGCCAACTAATGCGACTCAATTCCGGCAATGTCCGTGTCAAAGTGCAGAACCACTGTCACCTTCCAGCCAGGAAATTGCGCAGTAGGATTAGCCTTAGTTGCCGCAACGAATCGCATGTGCTCGCAATGCGTCAACCTGTGGAGGCAATGGAACTAATAACCCGGGAAGGGGAGGAGATCCTACTTTTGGGCACCGAGGAGGAGGTTCGTGTCTTGCGGCTGAAGGGGAGTAACTGCAGTCTCATCGACTGGCAATCCATCCTCCCAGCGGATGGTCGTCTAATGAAGGTGATCCAAATGGAGATTGAACCTAACGAGGATCTACTACTCACCAGTGGTTTGAGCAATCATCGTCCTGTGCTGGCCATTCATGTGAGGGATCTCGCGAGTCAGAACTTCAAATTGATCCAGTTGATACCGGGCTCTTACGATTTGGCCGAGATGCAGGGAAATCAATTGCTAGCCAGCTGCCTGGGTTGCCGACACGTAGCCATCTTTAAACGAAACCAAACCCTCTTCGAAGCCATCCAGCAATTGAGTTTCCAGGAGCGCATCCATCAGCTAACCCCGTTTAATGTGGGAGAAGAGCAATATCTTCTGGTGATAACGCAACCCGAGGAGGATCACTTTTACCTCTTCGTCTACAATCAAGTGGGCGGTTGGCAGCAACGCACATTTGGCTCTAAAAATCAATACCAGTGGGCGTGGCCATTGGTGAAATCTGGTCAAAAACTGGAGGCGGTAGAGAGCCCAATTATGCTGCTCTGCGGAAGGGAAAAGAAATGCAGTCTAGTGAAAGCCCTACTTGGCTAAAATCTGTACCATATTGTTAACTATGTTTAGTTTTATTTACTGTATATATCCTATGTTTATGCTATGAATTGTTTAGTTTTGTTAAATCATAATTTTGTTATTATTTTTGGAATGTATATATTATCTAGTATCTTAAAGCTAGTAGGCAACAAAAAAAACATGGGATCGAGATTATCACACTTCTTGGCTTTGTCACTAGTGTAAAGCCAAGGAAATCTTACTTGGCTAGTTTCCCCCAATTGAGTTTTTCCTCCTAGGTGGAAAAGCTCTTCCTACTGATGGTGATCACGTAACCGGTGAACACTAGGAATCCCAAAATGCCCCAAATGGAGCTGTTCTGATTGCCACCATCCCCAATCTTGGCCAGTATCCACTCCACATGACTGGCCACGTCCTCGAATCCGCCATCGATGCTCCTCAGGCCAAGCAGGCGATCGCGTTCCGTTAGCGTGGCACCCGCATCCATGTAAAGCTGGCCAGGATTGGAGTTGCCCGTCTCCGGCTGGACACAAATCCTCGGAGATTTGCTCTGCTGCTGGTGACACGAAGTGTGCGTGGCATTCAGCGTGACCAGATCGTGCAGCTCGCGAATATCGCCATCGTAGCCCCAAGTGCTGATCTGCAGAAGACTACTGGATTCCGAATCCAGGACAGAGGTGGCTCCAGGCGAGGGCAGGCCAATGGGCTGGATGAGCGGATGATCCAGAGGCACATCCTTTTCCAGCATCAGAATGGCCAGAGCCAAATCTTTAGGAGGCTGGTGGATGTGGGTCACGCCGAAGAAGAGTCCCTGCTCGTGGGGAGCAAATCTCTGGGGATTCCCGAGCATAACGCGCAGTTCCGATGGATGGTAGTAGCTCTTCTTTACCTGACTGTAATATAAAATCATCTTTCAGAAATACTACTTGGGAATTATAGTGCAGAACCAACCTGAAGATGCAGCTACTGACGGTCAGCACAACAGAGGGCGCCACCAAAGCGCCCGAGCAGATGTGTCCCTTGCCAAAGTAATCCCGTTCGTGGGCCAACAGCCTTATGGACGCCTGGTGCGGAGCCCTAATTTTCCCCCGCAATGGATCCTCACCCGTGGCCGCGGCAATGGCATCCATTTCGGCCAGGCCAATGCCACGTTTTGCCGCCAAATCTCGATGGGTATAGGCTGTGGGGGAGATGGATGGTGCAAAATTAGTAAACCAAGGTGAAGGTCGAAGCGTACTGGCTGATAAGCCGGCCAATCGGGATCCCCCATGGAAACAGTCTCCGAGTGCAGTCCATGTTATCACCCACCGGCTATCAGCAATCTTTGACGCCTGGTCAGCGCCCCACGATCGCTCCCTGATATCAGCCGCCTTTTTCCCCAGTGCACAAGTCCCGGATTCACATTCGGATTCGACCCGATCAGGCCACCACTGTTTGTTCCCGGCGTGATCGCAGATATGATAGCCGGTATGCGGCTATATCTATAGCCCCGGTAGCCACGGGCCCACCAAACCCAATCCAATCAAATCGAACTGAACTGAACTCAACCCTCTTTACCCCGGAAGCTCGAGACGATCACGCGATTATAGATCGCCAATTGATCAATTTGGAGTGACGCACTATAAGCGCTCAGCGATTTGGATAAACGTGGGATTATGCCAAAGTACAGTGGGAACTTTAAATGTTCGCACACTTTCTTTATAGTAGAATTCTTTGTAATCTACATTTTAATGGCTCATTTATACTCTGGAGTCTAATTTTAGAAATCATGAATATTTAAAATGTATATTTAGTCTTTTTTGGTAATCAACTGATCTTCGGGAGCAACAAATTAAATGTTTTGGAATGTTTGAACATCGAAAGTTGAAGTTCGAAAAGTTGATGCTTGAATTTGATTCGTGAGAACAAGTACATGAGATGATTCATAACCCATGGTATAATATTTATTTCATAAGGCACTTCTATCTATTACCACAGTTGCTTACTTACAATTTCTTTTAAAGCCCCTTTAATCAGTTGTCATGTTATAACTATTCGAGTATCAATTGAAATTCCTGAACGAACCACTTGTTAAACCACTGGGTTTCTTCAATAACTAAGGGTTTTTAATATTTATATTTGAATTATTTAAAATAAGCAATTGTTCCCGCATTTTTATAGTTTCAATACATTAGTTTCTTCGTAATATGCATCCAATTTATAGACTCGGAGAAAATTAGCATTTAACTGATATTTTTGAAAACACTGTACCGCTAAATCCTTTTTCTATCTCGAATTTTATAATCATCATAACTATCATAAGTTTTACTTACTCGTCTGCATTTCAGTGCAAAGAAACGCAAAGATCAGGGTCTTTACGATCTTTCGCCAATGATCGTTGAGCTGCATTTCACAAAACGTATCCCGAGCACAAAATTCACAAACGGAAAAAAATATTAGCTGATCCCGGTGATCGATGATCGACGATTGAAGTGATCCACAGCTTTGAATTTCACGGAGAGCGTTCTACGGTTCACCTGTCGGGAGCTCCGAGCGATGAATGAAGAATATATAGCGCGAGCCTCTTTCCTAAATCGAATGAACGCAAATTCGCAAAAGCGTTCTTAGATAATTCCATAATTTTTTTTGTTTTGGTTTCGTGAGTCTTGATTCCGACTCGCTTGTTATTGTTGTTGTTGTTGCCAGCGATGTCGGGCGATAAAGCAATAGCAACATACGACCCGGGCACCAATACAGGCGATATAGCCGAATCGAACTGAATCGAATCGAAGCGAATAATAAACAAACACACACGCCTTATCGGGATTGATAAGAACGCAGTGCCAGTAAACATTATTTTGATTATTTCTTTTCTTGTTTTCCTTTATTTTCAGTTAAATTTTGTTTATGTTTTGAAGCCAGGATTAAAATGGATCTGAAATATATCGTTCAGCATTAAAATCCATACAGTAGCACTTGACAAACTGCTTTTGAAAAGATCTATAATTCTGGAGGTACTTATCTGATAGTGCTGAAATTTTATTATGAAAAATATGTTCTAAGAAAACTATTTGCTGCTTGATTATTTCATGCCGCTTGCGAATGTCCATACTTTTGATTGATAGCAAAACTATTTTATGAGAAGCACACAACAAAATTAAGATCATTTAGGGCTTAATATTTAATTAGAAATATTTTTGAATGTAATTAGAATTTATGTAACTACAATAATATATATTTCATTTATATATATATAATATATTTCATATATAATATATTTCATTTTATATAATTATTTTATTTTATTAAATGTATTTTATATTTATACCCTTGCAGAGGGTATTATGATTTCAGTCAGAAGTTTGCAACGCAGTGAAGGAGACGTTTCCGACCCCATAAAGTATATATATTCTTGATCAGCATCACTAGACGAGTCGATCTAGCCATGTCCGTCTGTCCGTCCGTCTGTCCGTCTGTCCGTCCGTTTCTACGCAAACTAGTCTCTCAGTTTTGAAGCTATCGCGATGAAACTTTCCCAAAAGTCTTCTTTCTATTGCAGGTAGTATATAAGTCGGAACCAACCGGATCGGATAACTATATCTTATAGCTCCCATAGGAACGAAACGTTAAAAAAATTCTAGCTTCGGTGTTTTTTGAAATAAAACCTTCTACTCTTGGAAATATTATTTTTTAAATATTTCAGAATTTCGAAAAAAGTATTTTAAAAATCGGACGACTATATCATATAGCTGCCATAGGAACGATCGGAAAATTAATGTGAAAGTTACACAGAAATAAATTTTAGCTTTTTTGGTTTTTATTGTATTCTCTTCTACTTTAGAACATGACTCATTTTAAATATTTCCGAATTTCAATTTTCATTTTATCAAAATCGGACGACTATATCATATAGCTGCCATAGGAACGATCGGAAAATTAATGGGAAATATTAGAAAATTGAACATTTTTGCGATTTGTTAATTAATAGGAATGATCTGCAAGGGTATATAAGCTTCGGCTGGCCGAAGCTAGCTTCCTTTCTTGTTTTCTGATGTAATACTATTTTAATCTTAAATAATATTCAAACATTTTTAAGACTCACCCTTTTGAAGCACCTCTCCTTTCCCTGAAGTGTAGCGGAAATTACGCCTTCTCCTCGAGAACTATATATAACCAACTTAAGGCGAACTGAAACGGAAAGCAGATTACATCGCCGAGTGTGGCTGATAAGGATCGATGGCCCAAAGAGTGCGCACATTCCGGCACTAGGTGGTATCACCCAGTCCCGAAGATTAGTGGTGCTGTAACGAGACCTTGAGATGAACCACTCCGAATCATAATCGCACTGATTGATAGATAGATAGTGCTCTATGGCAATAGAGTTGCCGATTGCCCAATGCAGTTGGACCCATTGACCTTGTCTGCACGTTTAAAGAGCCAGATCGATCGATCGATTGACTGATTGGATCGGATTGAATTGTAGCTCTCGCCATGCAGTCACGAACACCATTCCTTCAGACCCGTTCCGTCTGGAACCATAAAGATTAACGATATCAGGTGGTCACTTCCATTCATCGCACTAGTGAAATCAAGTTTCCTTTCTGCGCCGTAAACTATTTTTAGTTAACTAACAACAAATGCGGCGATAACCGAGCGATCGTGGATTATATGGGGTGTAGGAAGAACTTCGGGGTGAAGAATATTTATAGATCGCCTGAAAGTAGGCCATAATTCGGTAGAACGAAAGGTTAGAGTAACCGATGAAAAAATGAAATCAATAAAAAAAAGCTTTTCTACCACCAGAGAAATTAATATTAATATACGAAATATAGGGTATAACCCAGTTTCTTTACATTAAACCACAAGTATTTAAGAGTTACAAAAATATCTAACAGTTTTACCTAGAAATCTTTTTTAAACCAATCTTTTCTATTGTTACTTTTTTTATTTTGTTTTACCTTCTAAATCAAAAGATTTTATAGTTGAAGAATCATTCTATAAATTTGAAAAATCAGAATTAAACTAGTCTTATTTAAGTTGGTATTAAAAATTATTTATTCGAATAATGTCAAAACTTTAACGATCCTTATTCTTTATAATAATTTTTGTTTACTTTAGTATCTATTTTATAAAAATCCCAAAGTTTGACAATATTAAATTTAAATTAATTTAAAACCCCAAGTGAATAAAAGTAAAACAATGTTTAAGTACTTAGATAATACAGATTTATTGAATTAAATATAGTATAATCAGAACTGATTAGTCATTAGCCGCAGGACGAGGAATCCGGGAAGTAGAAGGGTCAGAGTTCCAGCCAAGGCGGTGGCGGCACCACCACCTCCATTGTTATCATCATCCTTATCGCCATCGCCACTTCCGTCACCACTGCCATCACCACTGCCATTTCCACTTCCATCACCACTGCCATCGTCACCACTTCCGTCGCCACTGCCATCACTATTCGGATCCTCGCCCATATTCTCCAGAATCCAGTCGTAGTAGTAGGACACCTCCGTGTAGACACCCGGTAATCTGGGCAGGGCACATTGGATGCCCCAGGAAACGACGCCGGCCAGCTGACTTTGGCACACCAACGGTCCACCGGAGTCGCCGCTGCAGGCGTCCTTCTCGCCCACCTCAATGTAACCGGCGCACACCATTCCCGGCAGGATGAGATGGCCCAGATCGGAGTCATCGATGCAGTGCTCCTCGCTGATCATCGGCACATCGACGGTCATCAGGATGTCGGAGACGTAACCAGCCTCCGTGTTGCCCCATCCCGTCACCTGGCAGACGACGCCCTCGGAGACGGGAAACCGATTGAGGGCAATGGGACGAATGGTCGGATGATTCGCGGGCACGGTGCCATTCAACTTCAGCAAGGCGATATCCTTGTCGTAGGTGGACAGGACGAACTTCTCCAGCTGCATTATCCGCTCCTCGATCGTAAAGGTCAGCGTGTTGGTTCGATCGTAGCGATCCAGATTGCCCATCACCACGATGAACTCCTCCTTGGGCACAAAGGTGCCGTCATAGATAACCTGACTGCAAAAGAAGGTATCAAATTAACAGAGGGCTAACAGAAAGGTGACCCAAAACCACACTTCTAGAACTTATAACTTGATCATCTGTATACTGATTTAAAAGTGAAAAGCGTCTTATAATTTGCAGCTTAGTTCTTTAAGAATTTAGAGAGAGAAATAATTGGTGACCTCAAGGTTTTCAAAAAGGTGACCCAGACCTTCATACCAGGCATTTTGCTAGAATACTTTAATTAGCACTATGATATAGTAGTCATAAATACTTAAACTTTTCTTGAAACCGATAAGTTGGTATCAAACATTTTAAATTAACTTGATGTTAACAGAGGGCTAACAGAAAGGTGACCCAAAACCACACTTCTAAAGCTTATAGCTTGATTATTTGGATGCCGATTTAAAAGTTAAAAACCTCAGACAATTTGTAGCTTAGTTCTTTAAGAAATTAGAGAGAGAAATAATTGGTGACCTCAAGGCTTTTAAAAGGTGACCCAGACCTTCATACCACGCACGTTGCTAGAATACTTTAATTAGCAATATGATATAGTAGTCATAAATACTTAAACTTTTCTTGGAACCGATAAGTTGGTATCAAACATTTTAAATTAACTTGATGTGCCCAGAGATTACACAACAGCTAGGCAATGCGAACCTTCTACTTCCTGATACTATTAGTAATACCCCTTAAAGTAATTGCTCCTTGGTAACACTTACTCCACAAAGCAATGGGCGGCGGTGAGGACCCATCCTGGGCGGATGAGGGATCCTCCGCAGAGGTGTCCGGTTCCAAAGAAGTAGCCATCGTTGAGGGCCTTGCGAATTCCCACCTGGTGCCTAGTGGCGCCCAGCGTGGCCTCCGTTCCATTGATAATCCTCCCGGGGTCCACGCTGAATCTCGGCCGAATGGCCTCTGAATCCAAGGTTTTCGTTCGTGGAACGGCGCCTAAAACGGGATTAGGTATTAATAAAAAATCCAGAAAATCCAGAAAACCCCTACAAACCTCTCAGTGCCGCCGGCAAGGAAGTGAGAAGAAGGGCTAGTGCCAAAAATTGTACCGATCCGATCATTCTGCCCATCGTAGATGCTAACTCCTCGACGTGGCGATACCAACTAATGAAGGAGCCGAACCCACTTGGCCAATATCGTGGCCAAAATAAAAATCTGGCACCGGGCGGGCATCCTAATCTAATCAATAGACATCGTAGAACACACCAAAGCAGCACAAAACACCGGACTGACTTGTCATCGCCGGAGAACCGAACACCCACGTCCGGGTCTGACGAACTGCAGCCTTTAATTTTAGTTTTAAGTGCCACCGCTGGATTTTCCAGGCGGCCAATCTCTGGGTTTACCACACCGATTTATGGAGGCCCTTGAAAGTCGGGGAAATACCAGGGAATTTCCTGAAAAGTGTGTCCAAAGCTAAATGATTGGGATTATCCTATCTCTTTGAGATCTTGGGGATTTCCCTGATTTTAAGTTTTAATATAATAAATATTTATTTCATTTGTTTATTTTCAAAGAAAATATTTTTATAAAGTCAAGCGCCCCCTAATATCAGACAATAACTCCATAAGGATTATTCATCAGTTGAATTCCGTCGAAAATTCTTATATCAGAACCCATATATCTTCGATCTCCATTCCAAACTTATTGCCCATTGTACGATTTCAATTAAAATTTCACATCCACTCGTCATGTGCAAACAAAATTGATTATTCAGACCAACTTCTGGTAACATGGCAAATAAACAATTTATATTAAATCAAAAACTTAGTTACGCGCGGATATTGAAAAGGCTGGGTGCCGACCAAAAGTTACTCATCCACTCGGATTTTTAATCTAGGTCAATTTGGGTTTTTAGTAAATAAAAATTAAACAAATAGCAATAGCTTTATATCTAGTCCCATTAAGTGTCTATTTACATTACCATAAAAATCAATAACAAATAAAAAGGGGTTTGGCAATTTCATTGAGCAATTATGCGGTTTGTATGTGACGTGTTTTATTTTTAATGTTATTCCTCTTAAAATTTTTAGAATATTTCCTGTACCAAGAGACTCCTTGTTACCCTCAGTGGGCCCCTCCTCCTCTGATGTCATCAATGCCGTCGATCACCGTCAACTATTGGACAATCTACAAGTGGGTGCCTTCTCGGCACGATTAGATAAATCAGTTGTAGAACAGACAAGAGAAAGCGATTTATTGCGCTGTCCGATCGTCAAAGAAGTGTGATGATAAGCCCCAGAAGGCCAATATCCAAGAACTGAAACGATATCGATCGACGGCTAGCAAGATTCTCCGGCGTCATTTGGCGGTACTCGGCGTAATCCAATGAAGTGTTGGCCGCCCGGATCCAGTCAATAAAGTGCGAGACATTCGTATAAACACCCGGATAGCCGGGATCCGCACAGCCCACGCCCCACGATATTATCCCGGCCAGTTGTCCGTCGCAGATCAGCGGTCCGCCGGAGTCACCCTGGCAGGCATCTATACCGCCCTGCAGGAATCCGGCGCACATCTGGGAGGCGGGCAGCTTGTAGATCACCTGGCAGAGCTCCTTGTTCAGTATCGGTACAGGGGCCTGCTGCAGCGAACCCGATTTGTCCTTCTGCGGGAAAAAGTAAAATAAAAAAATTAATACCTGAAAACTATGCAAACTATGCACTTCTCCTAGTCAAACCTGTATTTACGGACGCTCTCTTATGCAGACAAACATTTTTAAGTAAGACTAGGCAAAAACGTGAAATAAAATTATTATACGGACGCTCTCTTATGCGGACACACCGTTTTTAATAAGGGCTAAGGTAACACAGGTCTCAGCTCTCGTATAATTAGTCTTATACTAACATATGCTTACGATTCAATAACAAATATCGCTTTACGGACGCTCTCTTATGCGGACAACCCGTTTTTAATCAGGGATAAGTTAACAAATTTCTTAGAATTAGTTGCTAAAAATCTTCTTACGGCCGCACGTTACGATTCAGTAACCGACATCGTTTAACGGACGCTCTCCTATGCGGACAAACATTTTTAATACAATTAAGTATACGGACGCTCTCTTATGCGGACACACCGTTTTTAATAAGAGCTAAGGTAGCGCAGGTCTCAGCACTAGAATAATTAGTCTTATGCTAAAATATGCTTACGATTCAGTAAAAAATATCGATTTACGGACACTCTCTTATGCGGACAAACGTCTTAAAACTAGTTGCAAACAATCTTATGAGGACATATTACGATTTAGTTTAACGGACGCTCTCTTAGACGGACAAAGAAATGCTACCTATAACCTGGAAATGGGATAACCCACCGGCGTGACCTTGCCCCAGCCGTGAATGAGACAGGTGGTGCCCTCTTGGGGAGCTTCGATGGTCAACGGTATCGCCCGCGCCACTTGCGTTTGCCACGGTATGAATCCGTTGAGGAAGAGCAGGGCGATGTCGTTCTCCAGCGTGCTCCTGTTGTACCGCTCGTGTCCGATGATCCGCTGCACGAGATACTCCTGCGTAAAGCGGTCCGTCCGATCGATGGTACTGCTGCCGGCCACGACGACATATAGTTCCGGATCCCGATACTGCAGTGGTACGGAATTGTTTCTAAAAGGCGAGTAATATTATTTAATAAATTTAATATGCGATATTTCAGTAGTATCACCCACATGGCGTAGCAGTGGGCCGCCGAGCAGACAACCCGCTGGGAGATAATCGCTCCGCCGCACACATGGCCCATTCCGTAGTGCTGCTCGTGGATTTTTCGCCTACGCACGGACACCTGGAAGGGCACCTGGTCAATGGTCACCGTGTAGCCGCCCACAATTTTAGGCAGGATCACAAAGCCCGAGGCCGTGGACGTCGGTGGATGGATCTGGACGATGCTGTTTCCGGGATAGGCCGCCAAAATCAGCAACATCAGCACAGGCACATCCATTGGTGTTCCATGGGATGCGGTTAAATCCCACAAGCGTCTGTACTTTCTCAACCGATAAAACAAGTTCGACAACAATTACAAAAAAAAATTCAAATTTAATAATATTGATGTTTGAATCAGTGTCTGAGCGATAAAATTAATTCGAAACAAATAATAGCTCCACTAATACAAAAAAAATTTTAACTAGTCACCCTACTCACATTTTTGAACTTTTTTAATTTTTCAAAACGGGTTTTATATAGTAGGACTAAACATAATTTGAAAGTGAAAAAAAAATGATAGCTTTATAAAAGGTTTTTGACTTTTTTAAGAAAATCTTTGCAAAACTGGAAAAAACTATATAAAAATTATAAATGGGTACAAAAATACATTATCATTTGAAATCCTTCTTTATATAGATGATTCAATAATATCGCATGTAATTGATAAAAACAAAAATTATTCTCAATCCCATAACAAATTAAGGTAAACATTCGATTTATAAAAAGAATAAATTGATTTATTTATTAGCTACAAGGACTAAAGTATCACTTAGACTCTGAGATCCAAGACGAAGGCAAGGATGAGTGGAAGACAAGTCCCGAGGAAGGACCAACCCGATCCCAGCCGTATTCCTGCATTATGATAGAGCGTGTAGTTCAAGGAGTTGTTCTTCTGGACGATCCAATCATTGTAGTACGAGACATTCGTGTAGACACCCGGATAACCAGCTTGCGCGCAACCGGCGCCGTAGGAAACGATGCCGGCCAACTTTCCGTTGCAACTCATGGGTCCGCCGGAATCGCCCTGGCAGGCGTCCACTCCTCCAGTCCAATATCCGGCACACACCTGGGAAGTGGGAACCGTGCCGTAGGAAACTCGGCAGGTGGCATAGGAGACAATGGGCACCGTGGCAGACTGCAGAGTATTGCTGCTTAGTATTCCGTTCTGAAAGAAAATAGAGATTTTATTGGCTGACAGTAATAGAATCTTAAGAGCTAATATATAGTCAGCATTTTATACTGAAAACAAAATAATAATATTATTATAATACCAATTAGATTCGCTCAAGTCAAGCTTTTATTAATTGATTTTATTTAATTCTTTTTATTTAAAAATGTAAGGAATTAAAATTTAAAAAATTTAATTGAATTACTTTATATAAATTTTTCATTCTATGTTTAATAGTTTTTTTCCGTTTAAAAAAAATTAAATTGAACCACATAAAATACATTTTAAACTAATTTTTAAAAAATATTTAGGTTAAGAAATGGATCTAGATGGTTTATCATATCTTAGACCACATTTTATAATATAATTTTGAGTGTATAACATATAAAACGATGTATATAACGAAATATATATTACGATTTTGGGTTATTTTAGTTAAAGAATGGATCTAGGTGGTTTACCATATCTTAGAAGACCTTTTAAAAATTAAATCTTGAGTACACTTTGCTCATAAGCTAATAATTTGGTATAACGCCTTTAGGATAAGACCAAAAAAATGGAAATACCTCATTTTGGCCTTTACTTGGTGTTCCTTTCGCACCTCCTTGCGAGATTAGCACTCACCTGTTGGAGCAGACCCCATCCAGAGATCAGGCAGTCGGTGCTGGTGGCCACGAGTTGGCTGTTTAGTGCCAGGGCCTTCACCGTTGGCCAATTCCAGGGAATATATCCATTGATGAACATCAGCGCAATGTCGTTGGTCAACGAGTCCGAGTTGTAGTTCTCATGTGGGATCAGCTGCTGCAGGTAGTACTCCAGTGTCAGATCGGTGGAGTTCTTCAAGTAGGTGCTGCCCATCACCAGTACGAACTCACCAGCAGTACGGTATTTCTTTTGTTCGGCACTAAAATTTAAAAACTATTAGAGGTATGTATTTCAAAGATAGTGAGAGCTTTACGCACATATAAACACAATGGGCGGCGGTGGCCACCAGACGCTGGGAAATCACCACTCCGCCGCACAAGTGACCGGAACCATAGCTCTTCCTATCGTTGGCGGTCAGGCGAATGGACACCTGGTAGGGAACCTGTTCGATATATGTCGCACTTCCTCCCACGATCTTGGGCTCTATCTTTCCGGTCGTCTCGGCATCAAGATCTGAATGATAAGTAGATAATTCAATAAATATTTTTATAATTAAGAAATATAAATGTAATATAATTATAAATAATATCCAAGATCTGCATGATATGTATACTATTTAATTAATATTTTTATAGCTAAATAATACATATGTAATTTTAATACATATATCGGTCATGGGCATGACCATCCAATGCCATCTGATACACCTCCTTGACAACTAACTGCATTGAATACGTATTTGAACAATTGCTGTTTATCGGTGGCTAAGAGATAGCCGGGCTGGAATTGTTGTCTTAACAAGAAAGTACTTCAGAATTATATGGTTTATATGGTGTGCGGTTTATAGCTCTTTGGTGGAATGGAAAAACAAAGCAATCTAATCGAATGTGTTGTGATTGCCGCTCCTTGGAAAATTAGTTGGATAATTGTCGTTTATAAGCGTTGCCATTATGCATTGCGAAAATCGAAATTAGTCATGAAATCAGTTGAGTCACGGTAATTTTTAAAACATTTTTTCTTACTTCCTTTGATAAAATTAAAATATTAATCAAAAGATAGCACAAAAAAAAGGTTTTAATATGATAGGTGAGAACGTCATATTGTAATCATTTTATTCATATATTTTTTCTTTTTTGAGTGAACACAATTACAAATTTATTCAAAAACACTTTAAAAAAGAGAAAACTTTAATTAATTAATTTTCTTTCTCGAGGAAAGCTGGGAAACTGTAATTAACATGATGTTTCTTTATCTTGGGTAATAACCAAACACAATTGTTAGAAAAAAAGCAAAAAAAAGAAACCCCAAGAGATAACTTGCTTAGAAGATTTGGGTTTTACACAACTTTTACAGTTTTTGAGTTTACTTCTAAAGAGCCATAAACAACTGAATGGAAGTTGTATACTAGTAAGACTTTTCAGGTGTTATTTAGATTGATAACTTCCAATCCATGACTCACTTTCGCCGGAGACCAAAACGCCTAGAAATAACGCAATGGCCACCCAGATTTTAGCCATTTCTTCTGAGCTATAGAAAAACCGAATTATACAGAAGTTAGAGCCTAAGAACACGGACTTTTGAATATTTGCCCGTTACTATTATCGACCGAATTTCTTGAATCGAGCCACCGCAATGAGCCATCAGACCCATGGCCAGTTGATATTATTTGTGGTTGCCTATGGCTTATCTTATCGCTAAATGTGCGTAAATTGAATGTTGCCAAAGCCCGAAAGCAGCACATCGACAACAGCTCGATAGGTCGATCGGGTGCCATAAAAGTAAACAAATGCCAAATCAGAGCGAAATTCATTTTTGATTTCGATGGAAGTAGATGCGAATAGATTTAGTAATTCCTAGCGGCATGGCAACTAGGACTTAAACTTATATACATTTTTCCTACATGAAATAATATATTTTCTATAGAAATATTCTTCGTACATGCTTAAATATATATTTTGTGGGTTATAATCTAAATTATAAAAATAATATAATTTATGTTCTGCATACATTCCTTTTCCAACTTATTTAAACAAGGAGCAATCACATCAAAAGAATTTATTAGTCAATGTTATAAACGAAAAAATAAACAATTAAAGTGAAATACATTTGTGAAAAAATAATATCCATGAAAATCGAAGTGGCGCTTCTTTATAAAACCGTGACTAATCGGATGATAAGTAAACACGGATTTTCCCGCCATTAAACAGGTACAATTAGATATCATTCAATATGGTCTCGTGAGATAAGAATTTGGCATTCTACTCTTATTTTTGTGGTAATGGTACTTTTGGAAGCAAAAAAAAAACATTTATCATTTTAAAATGATAGATTGAGTGACAATGGAACTATGTAAGCAAGGTGTTTATAATACATAAGTTAATCGCATTCTATCCTTTTATCACAAAGGTATTATAGTATCTAATTTTCTTTCACAAAAATAAACCTATAGACTAGAATATTCACTATTTTATGTCGAATTTAGTCCCTTTATCACTGAGGATTTTTGTCTGATTTTATCTTTCATAAAACGCAAAACAAACGCAAAAAAAAACATGGAAAAGCTTAACCTTTCTTTGGAGCACCATTTAGAGTGAGAGTATATCCGTACTCTTCTTATTTGTTATCTTCATGCTCCTTAATCAGTTTTTTGGTAACAGCTGTGGTGCGAGAAAGTATGGCCCTCAGCTCTTCGAGCTCACTGAGCTCTTTCTGTGATCCTGTTTCTTCCTCGGTGACCCCGTCGTTTTTTTCCGGGGAATCATGGGTGTCCTGCTCCGGAATGAATGGTTTTGGATAATCGAATGATGCTTGAACACATTCAGCTGTTTTAGGTTCTTCCTTGACTTCCGAAGAAAGAGGTTCACATTTAATTTGAGCTGTCCCTATGGTTGCATTAACTTTGGCCAGTTTAGCCAAGGACGATTGGGCAGTTATAGTCGATGTAGATGGCTCTTCATCTTCATCTTTTATGGTTTCTTTCTTAACTCTTGGCCTTACTGTAAGCCACTCATCCACGTTCGACTCCTGGGAACTCTGAGAGCTTCTGTACTCGAGTTGCACATTGGTACGACGCTGCATCACCTTGCGCTCCATATGATTGGTGTTGACTTCGAGGGCCTTGCGCTTCCTATTAAACATTAAAATGTATCTAAGTATTTCGTATAGATGTGGTAGCTATAAATCTTACCTATTACGTGGAGACAGTTTTGGGCTAGATTGGGCATTCAACGAAGCTGCGGATTGAGGAATAAAGTATGAAAGAAACTTAGAGCGTGGAGTATATTTTGTACTTGATGCATCCGACGAGGTCGTAGATCCCGATGACGGTGTCTTGGGCCTTCCACCCTCGCTAATGGGCGAGGAAAGCGCCGATGAACTAGCCGAGGGAAGTTGAGCTGCAAATACATCCTTCACTTTCTTATAAGCTGAGGCGCCGTCCAGCAATTTCTGGTGCTCTTCTGTAAAAGCCTCGACATCAAATGTCTTTGTTACTGCGGTGGCTAAAGGATAAAAAGGAATAAAGCGATTATTAAATTTATTTTCTAGTTATTAATTAGGATTCTCATTTATAGAGGCAATATAAAAATATATTAAGGCTCTTTGAGAAGTTCTTATTTACTGGGAAATATTTCAAAATAAGTTTAATTTTAGTAGTGTCTATGTGTGTTGAGCATCACTTAAATAACTTTCTATCCCTTTTTTTTAATGTCAGATATGGGGGCATGATTTTAAACTTACTTTTTGAGGATATGAAACCATGAAGTTATAAAGAATATAAACTAACATGTTGGAATATAGCGATTAATAAATTTATTTTCTAGTTATTAATTAGAATTCTGATTTTAGAGGCAATATAAAAATATATTAAGGTCCTTTGGGAAGCTCCTAATTACTGGGATATATTTTAAAACAAGTTTAATTTTAGTAGTGTCTATGCATGTATGTGGAGAATCACTTGAATACCTCCCCATACCATTTTTAATGTCAGATATGGAGACATGAATTAAACTTTCTTTTTGAGGATATGGAACCATGAAGTTATAAAAATTATAAGCTAATTTACATATTTTATATTTTTTTATGAAGCGAAACGAAAATCTATTTGCATAGATAATAATTCAATGAGTTTTACTTATATAGAATAACAAAACAAATCGGTTCCTTTCCCCAGTCACAATTTTAAGGTCAATTTAACCAGAAACTTACCCCTCCACAGCTTGTGTCCGTCATTTCGATATTGTTGAAGCTCCTTATCCTTGGCTTTCAGAAGGTCTATCAAAACGGAAACCTGATCCCGTAATCCTGCCGCGGTGGCCATCGAATTCATGCAGATCTTGCGATAGAACTATGGGGATGTCAATGGTTATTATTACAAGTCTCTGGTTTGACTGGAAATAAATGAGTTCCTTACCAAGAAACCATTCATCGGACTTAAGTGCCAATTCCATTTGAGAGGAACTGCAGCATTGGACATGGAGTATTTAAGATTCAGGATAAACGGATGCAAACCAGTTGAGTCCACTTGCGAAGGATCTGCGGTGAGCAACACCAGACGCACTGCGTCCTCTGGGAACTTGACACGTGCATTTAGCGTCTGCATAAGGAGAACAATAATATGTTAAATACCAATAGATAATAGTTAAACACCAAAAACTCACCTTCAAACGCTGCTGGAAATCATCTTTCGCTAAGGTCTCCGAGAAACTCAAATTCTTGCCGGGTTTGTGGAGGTAAAACGTGAGGCCTCCGTCCTCGTCGTCTTCAAAGCAACTGAATATGCTCTGCTCTCCGTTAATTTCCACAGCTTTTACTAGCATTTTTAAACATAAACTTTAAATAATAAAAAACTACAAAACAATTCGCCGAAATAAGCGAATCAAAAGAATGTGCCAGTTATCGATGGAAATATCGATATATTGGCGTGCGAAATCAGCTGTTTGTATTTTTTTTTAATAGGGATATTCTTCAAAATCTTTAATTAATTAATCGTTTTAATTAATTTGTATTAGCAATAATAAAAGTAAATGATTAATAAAAATTAAAAAATAAAATTTATCTTGATTTTATTCTTGAGTCTTTTTAATGCCCTTTTTTAAATATCGATTGTTTTTCATAGTTAAAATAATAATAATTGTGTGCCTCTTTTTTTTACCTAGGTACTTTATAAATTTGATAATATCCCAAAGTGTAAAACTTTTAATTACAAATCACAAAATAATCCCCGTTTCATAAGCTGTTAAACAACCGATGAATAGTGGTAGTCGAGCTGTTTTTCATATCGATAGCACCTATTTTACCGCCACATTTTGAATTTAAAAACCCTTGAATAGATATTACTTTATTTCGTTTTAAACATATTTTTCATAGATAATATTTTATTTCGTTTTAAACATATTTCTTTTTGTATGTAATACATATTGTTTGTGTTCGTTTTAGCTTATCAAAAAATTCACTTCACTTTTGTTGTATGTTATTGATTAACTAGATTCCATAGTTTATTTTCGTTTTAATTTCACTACCAAGAGAAATGTATTTATCTCTAGAACAACACGTGCCCGTGTGTGTGTGTTTATAATATGTATTTCAATTAACTAATCCACGCGTGCGTCGGCTTTAAATGTATATATATAGACATGTATTTATATAGTATATTATATTATGTAATAATAAGATCCTAAATGTGTAGAAGATCAGTTATAGTTGCGACCCGAGAGGGGTGCAACAAATTAAAGTGGGAATCGATTCAGGAAAGTGTTTGTTTTTTCTTCTTCGGGATCTAAAACTAGCCTCGTCTAGCTGTCTTTTATCCTTGTGATCCTAGATCAGCTTGTGGCGTCGTTTGAGATTTTTCTGCAGTTTCTTCATAGTTGTGGTGGTGGTGGTGGCATTGGTTGGTCCTCAAATCTGCGGACGTGTCCATAGCTCGCTCAGATCCTTCTTCAGCTTGCCCAGCTCTGCAAGTAGGGATTGGTTTGGACTTAATTCCCCAGTGAGTTGGTTTGGCCCTCGCCACTGGTATCTATATATCTAACTTACCCAGCTGAGCTGGCAGGACTCCTCCGTTGCGGAATCCCAAGTCGAAGCGCGGCTGAACTCCCAACTGGCTGGCCGAGGTGGATCCCGAGTTACGGAAGGCGGTGCCACTAAAAAATGGGGATTTAATTGGTATTAAAAATCTATGTTGGCCAGGATCGGGGGAGAACGCACCTGTAAGGATGCTTCAGGCAGCCATATACCTCGCGGTAACGCCCATAAAGAGTGCCGTAGGAAACGCCCAGAATTCTGGCGGCCTTTTTCATCTCGAGTCTTTTGTTTTTAATGGCATCCAGCACCTAAAAGATAAACAAATAAAAAATATTAAAAAACTATGTAGTTTCAGTCATTGCAATTATTTTGTATTGTTTTTGACCACCCCCTTGAGCCTCTCCTCTATTATAATCATTACATTTTCAAGGTCTTTCAGTTAATTTATGATAAAAAAAAGCCTTGTCACACCCTAAACAATTAGTTTAATTTGTTTTTTTTTTTCCTCATAGTAGCTTTCTAAAAAGTACAAACTACAAAACAGAAATGATTGTTAGGTTTTAGAAAAAAAAAATACAAAAAATTCCAGAAAAAGGTGAAACACTATTTAACTTGCTTTTATGTGCCACTTTTTTAGTACCACATTTGTTTTGCCAACATCAACTGTAATATTTATTTTTAAACGTCTACAGTACACTTTTCAAATATATTTAGGATTTTTAAAATAAAATAAAATCACAATAAATAAAATTGTACAACGAAAAAGGGCTTTAAATAAAAACTGAGAAAATAAATGGGAAAAAGGCCCGAAGAACTGTGTGAAAAATGTATAATCTGGCACAAAGGAAAGACAAAAAATAAAAGAAAAACTGCAACAATGGCCAGAAAAATCCGATAAATAAATACTTAAGCAAGAAAAATAAATATTTCTGAAAAATAACTGAACGAAATTTTTAGTTAGGCCAATAGGCTACAGAAAAAAATAAAAATTTAAACTAGAGGGGGTGAAAAACCTCCAATAAATGTAAATTACTATGTACTATGCATACAGGTATTTCATAGTTTTTTAAACTTCACAGATATTACCTAATAAATAAATTAATACAATTAATGGGTCAACCTACACGCTTGGTAAAGGGTTCCTCCCAGAACTGTGGACGCCGCCCCTTGGCCAGATAGTCGTCCATCTTGATGACGTCCTGCCACTGCGACAGCTCCTCGTTGGTCAGGCGCAGTTCGGCGGCATCGTAGTCCTCCAGCTTGATGTCGGGATAGTCGGCGGAGGAGCCGGCACCGCCACTGCCGCCTGGATCCTGGCTTCCACTTCCGGCTGAGGCATTTGCCACGGCGGCGGCGGCTGCTGCAACGGCAACGGCAGCGGTGGCCGCGGCACTGGCCACATTCGGTGCAAATTCGTGGGCCATCAGCATGCCGTGTTCGTTGATCAAATAGGAGGAAGAGCCACTCGATCCACCGCCTCCTCCGGCTGCCACGCCCCCCTCGTATTTGCAGGCAAAACTGGCCGGAATCACGACCGTGGGACGTGGCGATTCCGCCCTGTTCGCCACCAGATGCTCATTCTCAATCTCCTCCAGCGGCTGCGGCAGCTCGTCGGGCTCCTCCTTCGGCGGCGACTCAACCTCCTCCCCTCCTCCTGCCCCTCCTCCTCCTCCGGACTTCTCGTACAGCCGTCGGGCATGACGCAGCTTGCCATGACGTTCGCGCCGCTCGCTGATCTTCTCCAGCTTCTTGGCGGAACTGCTTGTGCTGGTCAGCACATCCGGTTGCGATTCCTCGCCGGCTTCCGTTTCCTGCTTGTTGTCATCGCCATCGCCAGGGTTCTTGGGCGTGCATCTGCCATTGGGCTCCGAACTGGACCAATCCTGGCCAGCAACCGATGGCTCCTGGTCACTGGTTTCCGACTGGAGGAGCTGCTGCTGCTGCTGCTGTTGCTGCTGCTGCTGCTGGTGACGTAGGCGCTGGCGCTGTTTGGGCGGGCAGGCGGCGGGCGGGGAGGCCATCGAGGCGGCATGGGCCGCCAGCGGAGGCTCCTCGGCGAAGTGACGCGCCGTCTCCAAATAGGCACGCTGGGCGGGCTCCAGGTTGGCGGCATACTGGGCCAGCTTGCGTCTGTCCGGGGGAAAAGGAGAATTCAAGGGGGAAATTAGGAAAAACCGATTAAAGAGATTCCTTTATGTTAAAGGAAAAATATAATCATTTTAGGTTAATATTTAATATGTTAATATAAGCATTTTAAAAATAAATAACGATTTAAAATTATTTATAAAAGTGGCTAAAAGTATGCAACCATATTTCTTAATCAGGATGTATAATAGATTTATAACACTAATTTAAAAACACTAATAATAAATACTTCATTTCAGACATTCTTCAATGTTTTTAATTGTTTTGAAAATAAATAGTGGCTTTGAGTAATTTATCAAGGAATCTTAAAGTATGAAACCATATTTTGTATTAATTCATTTTTCAGCGACCACTTTATGACACCTATATAAATGCTGAATCCTTGATTTTATAATGCTTAAGTAAATATTTTGTAGATATATAAAGGCTTTTTATATGAGAGTCTTAAACACTTATAAAGAATCTTAAAGTATGCAAGCAAATAATTTTTATCAGGATGTTTGATAGATTTATTTTTTCGCTGCATACTTTTCGACACCTTTGTAAATAATTTAAAAGCACTAGTGATTTCTGGAGAAAACCCCCCAAAACTGAGATTTTATAATATAAAAAAATCGATTAATTGAAAAAATATTAAAAGACAACCTACACGTTGAACACATCGTATGCGTCGTCTAGTGGCGGACGACCCCGCTTGCGTTTGGGGCCCAAAAAGTGCTCGACGGGTGCGACGCCCTCGAGGGCTGTGGCCCCGGATATCGCACCCACTCCGGCTGAGCCGGCGGCACCCGGCAGCGGCGTCATCACGGGCATGCGACCCAGCACACTCTCCATTCCCGGGGACAGGCGCTCCCGATCGCGATCCCGTTGCTCACGATCCCTGTCCAAAATGGCAGAGCTGTGCAGGTGCAAGGGCGGACCAGCCGGGGGCTGCTGCTGCTGTTGGTGCTGGAGGATTAGGTCCTGGGCGTAGCTCTCCGCCAGACTGCGTGGCGGCGAATGGAACTCCGCGGCGGCCATCGGTGGCGGCGGACCGTCCTCGTCGTCGCGCCAGGTGACCTCGGCCAGACCCTTGATCTTCAGGTCGTCCGCGGTCTTTAGCAGTGAAGGGAGGCTGGCCTGGAAAGACAAGAAAATACAGGGTTGTATTTTTTGATTTTTATCGGTGCCAAAGATTTTAAATCCCTTCTGAAGGTCCCTAAAAGTATGCTACGATTTATGTTGACACCCCAAAATCGTATTGATATTTGTTGAAAATTGAAAATTTAATTTTTTACTTTATAAGCAGTTTCAAATCTCTAAACTTTTACGTTTTCATTATTATTATTATTATTATTATTTAAGTTTTATTTTAAGTAAATTTCTAGTTAATTCTTTATGAACAATATTTTTTATATTTTATTTTTATTTGTAACAGCCCTTAAAAGTATATTATGATTTATTTTAAAGCACAAAAATCGTATAAATATTTCTTTAAATGGATGTTTTCAATACCCGAAAATTAAGAATCAATATATCTATTTAAGTTTTATTTTGAATAAATTTCTAGTTAATTTATTAGGAAAAGTATTTTTTTCCATTTCAGTACAATGAATGGTTTATAAATTTCCAAACTAATGGCTTCTACTCACATGCTCCACATTAATTTCGCCCTTGTACATGAACTCGATGAGGCACTTGACCTCCGCGAAGGTCACGTCCTTCATGATGATGATCGGATCGCGTTCGCTGGCATAGTTGGAGAGCACGGCGTCGAAGAAGGTGCTGCAGGCGCACAGGACGACGCGGTGGGCGCGGATGAGCTGGCCCTCGCAGGCCAAGGTCACGTCGCAGAAGCAGCCGCGATCCAGGAGCTGGGAGAACATGGTCTGCAGATTGCTATGGTGGTACTTCCACCTCAGGCAGTACTGCTGCGGCAGCATGGTGGTGCCGCGCCTGCTGCTGCCCCTGATGGTGGTGCCTCTGGTGGTTCTAGTAATTCTACTGGAGGTCCTCTCCTTGCCTGAAAAAGCAGATACGAAAAAAAAGGTAAGAGATTTGAAATCACTTATAAAGGTGCCTAAAATTATGCTACAATATATTTAAAATGAATAAGATCACAGAAAAAATTAGAAATTTGAAATCACTCATAAAGCAGCATAAAAGCAAAATTAATTGAATAAATTAGAGGTTTGAATTCACCCATAAAGCTGCCTAAAATCAAACTACAAATTTATTTAAAATACCAAAATTGATAGAACAAATTCCAAATACATATTACTAGCATTTTTTAAGCGATTTCCTACTTATGCAAGTAATGAAAAATAAATGTTCCAAATGATAAATAATTGAAGACACAAAAAAACGCATTCAAAGGACAAAGAACAAATTCATAATTAATTTTAAAGTTAAATATTTCATTAAAATTCCCAGATTATTTATTAAAAAAAAAAAAACAGGCAGCTCGACCACCGTAAAATCCTAAATTGACTCTTCTTAATATGTAAAATTTTTCCGCCCATCTGAACACATATATTTCAGTCGTGTTTATTGGTTTTTTGTCGAGCCTGGAGCATTATATTCATCGTTAAACTTGTTATCCCTATGAATCCTTTCGCAGTGCGTCGGTGTGTAAATGTCAATCGGAGGACATGCAGCTTTTTACCGTTTAATGAAAGGGTTTGTTGTTTTTTTCCCCCCCGGAGCATTGGCATGCGGAGAACTTCTTGTTGGCCTGTTTTTCAAGGTATTTTTCGAATTAAATTCATCGCAATTTTTTCAGCCAAATAAATAATCGAAATTCCCGCTTTATGCGAGAGCAAGTCGGGGATCGGGAAAGAGTAAAAAAAAAACCAAAGTCCTGCCAGTCATCGAATGGCGAGATGTTTTTTCCAGCTCCATTTCCCTGGCAACAAAGAAGCGCCAATGACTTCGGTGGGTGGGGAAAAAATGAGGGGAGGGGAATGGGGATGGTAGTTTTTTCTTTCAGACTGCAGCACCATAAAAATGTTCGTCCTCGTTTTCATTTTATTATTATTCTTCTCTCTCACTCTTTTTTATACACATAAAAAATTTTCATAATTTTTTTCTTTTCTTTCCATTTTTTTTGTGCACACTTTTATTCAGCGCAAATATTATGCGCAAGGTAAAACTTTATATTGTTTGTCGCTTTTCCCTCCTATATATATACATATATATATGTGCATTTATGTAATATATATAGTATTGGGTGTACCTACATGTACAAAATGAGTTGACGCTTAATAAAAACACAATTTTCCCCCCATCTCACATCTCCCATCCCACACAAACCAATATGTCAATATACTTAAACGCAAAGTACGGAAAAAATGAAAAGAGCAATTATAAAATCCCTTTTGTTGTCGATTTCCACAGATTCATCGTAATTGTAAAATCGAATCGACGTGACGAAAGGGCGAAATAAATTGATTTTCGCGGTAAAGATAATTCTATATCCATAGTAAGTCAACCTGGCATTTCCTTTTTTAAAGTCCAGGAATTTATTAAATTAATTAATTGCAATTTCAACGTGTACAAAATTGAAAGCGGAGTATCTTAAAGATACAATATCATGTGGTTTTGGCATTTTTATAATATAACTTGAAATGTTGGTCAAACTTGAAAATGTTTCTGATTAAATTGTAAAAAAAAAATAAATATAAAAAGGCAAGTTTTTTTTAGACTATGAAGAATCTTTAAGAATTTACAATATGGTATAACATAAATCCTGAAGAATATTACGATTTGGAGTCCTTTCCCAAAAGGTTAAAATACATTTGTGGATGTTGACGGGGGTATATATATATATATTTATGTATATATAAAAGAGGTTGATAGAGATATGGTCGCCCACTCTCTTTTACCCCTTTTCCTGGTACGGTAATAAATTTTAAGAATTCCCCCAACAATTTTGTTACCCTTTTTTTTATATATGTATTTGCCAACAAATTTTTGGATTTTTTGTCTCTTAAACTTTGTTTTTTTTTTTTTTTGTTTTTTTGTGAAACGCATTCTTGCTTTTAGTACTAATAGCACAAGGGAAAGGCGAAGCAAAAAAGGGTAGGATAATGGTAGGGGGATAAGAACTTTATGTTAGCTGCGTTTTATGTCCAGTGTACAAAATGGACCACACAAACACACACATTTAGGGAAAAAAGGACTCGCACTCACACAAACTTATTTTGAAAGTAAAGAAACTCCCGGCATGGGTCAAAATTCGCCCGAGAAAAAGAAAAAGGGGAAGAAGAAGAAGAGGAACTGTTGAAAAACGCTGCTGAAGAAAGAAGAAAAAGAAGCTCGCGAACAGAATGCGAAAGCAAATTTCGCTTCACCTTTTTCAGCTGCAAGAAATGCCAAAGGAAAGTTGAAAAACAGAACAGAAACTACAAAAAACATCAGCACCAGAAAGCTGGCAAATAAATTGCACAAAAAAAAGTATTAAGAACGGGAAAAAAATGGGTAGAAAAAAGCCCCAGAAGAAAGGACTTCTTTAGCTAGTATATAAACGAATGCCATATGTACGGTTTTTTGTACGACCAGCATGATTGATATATAAAATACAGTCGAGCTCTATTTAAGGGAAAGAAAAGAAATATAAGAAAGAACATATCACATTTAAATCTTTTGTTCATAAACTAATTGGCTTTTCATGAAAAAAATATAAACAGATTTTTATGATTAAATTAAAACTAAAATTTTTGATGGTTTTCTAATATATTGATTTTAAAATTCTAATGATTTCTGCCTTTGGGCTTAGAAGATATTACATATTTTAAATAAAAACTTTATTTACAGGACCTGTATTTTTGGTTGGCTCCCCTAATAATGTTTTTTACAATTCAATTTAAAGTGAATTTGTAAAATATATATTTTCCTAATTTGAAATTAAACCATGGGACTCTGGCTTTTCTAATATATTTGAAAGTTTAAAGTCGTACTAATTTCTGTGTTTGGAAGAATTTACATTTTATATAAAGGACTTGTATTTTGGTAAGACCTGTATTATTTCCCAAGTTCAACTTACGGATGTTCCACTGTACAAAATAGTGGCATTAAAAAACGCAATGTCCGGCACTCAAGGATTGGGATTTGAGTTTGGTTTCTGTTTCGGTTTTCTGACTTGGTTCACTCACAATAATAGAAACCCCCCCATCTCCATCTACCCCCAGCACACACACACACACATAGACAAGAGTTAACTGCAAAGGGTTTTTGATCCCAATCTCTTCCCCCACCCCCACCCCCTTCTCTCCCCCTCTCACACCCACTCGCTGGAAGCGTTACACATTTAAGTTCCTTAAAATAAAAAAAGCTACAACCAACACAGTCACACGAAAATGGGGTGGGTGTGTGGGTGGTTGGGTTGGCATAAAAAATACATGTTTTATTGTAGTATATTTTTCCCGCCAAGCAGTCGCACACAGACACACACACATGCAGGCCCCTTTTTCTTTTGGATTTTCTCATGGAAAATATTTTTCAGTTTTTATCACATTTTTCTTCTTCTTTGGATTTCGTTTTGTGTGTTTTTTGCTGCATCTTTTTTTATTTTATTTTTTTTTTACTTCTTCACTGCTTGTAAGCTTGTAAGGGGCAGGGGGAGGGAGGGGGTTGGAAAAGGGGGTGACGCAAAAAGGTTGCGAGCGGAAAAATAAAAATGAAAAAAGACATTACAGCGACTGCGACGTTGGAGAGAAGAAAAAATAAATAAATAAAAACACAAAAAGCTGGCAGAACGAAGGGAAAATAAAGAAAGGCAGGGTACAAAAAAAAAATAAATAAAGAAAAAAACATAACGACCGTTTCTCGTTTCATTTCGTTTCCTCCGCCCCCCCTCGTTTTTTGCAGTTTTCCCCCCTCCGCCCCTGCTCTTTATTATTATTTTCAGTTTCTGTCTTTTCCCATTTATTTTTCTTTCTTATTTTTCGCCCCATGCTTCTCTCCTACTTTTTAAGCTGTAATTTTTTTACTTGACGTTTTTTATGTTTTCTGAGCTCCCAGCTCCTTTTTTATTTTCAGCAATTTTATCCTTTTTTTTAAATATCGATTTTCATGTCAACTTAAATGAAAGGTACACAGTTTTCCATACAAAAAAAAAAGAAACGGAATGTAAAAAAGGAGAGTACGGAATTTATATGTGGACCTGTCATCCGTGTGTGTGTGTGTTTATAATGCTTTTCTGCTTTTCCTTGCTGTCTCTTTTTATTATTAATTTTTTTATTCACACACACACATGGTTGTAGATTTTCCCCATTTCCTTTTTATAAATGCTTGGCAGGGACACACACAGCGAGGAAAACAACTCCAAGATACACGGAGAAATTTCCACTTTTTTTGCTCGGCTTTTTTTTTTTTTTTTTTGTAGTTTTTCCTTAGCATTTTCCGGGGTGGAGGTGGTAAATTCCAGCCATGATTAATGGAGAACTCAATCGAGATAGATACAGTTTTATATACATAACTGAACATTTACTAGCAATACTTATGGATTCGTATATATTTTGGGGTACCACGAATCCCATTTCTCAATGCCAATTCTCGATGGCAATCTTTGGGGAACCCAAAAACCCTGAATGGATTCGAAAGTTAAAGAGTGTCCTGGTTTTAAAACTTAAATGGGTTAACCAAAGCTTAAATAACATTTAAAGAATTAGGTGGATTTTTAAAATCACATTTAAAAATGTCAAATTAGGTGTCTAAAAGTACGCAACAATATATTTTTAGTCCAAAATTGATAGCAATTTATACAGGAGGACAACTATCCCTTATTCACTGCATACTTTTAGACACACTCTTTAAAATTTAAAAGTGATTCCTTATCATTCCTTCTTTTCTTATTTTGACTATTTAAAATATTTAATTTTTAAATTTTTAAAAGATTTCTGAGGTTACATATGCTCATAGTAAGAGATTGTAGTATTTTTTTTAAAGTTTCAATGAAAAATCTTTTAAATGATCTGGTAAAAGATCCCGATTTAATCCCTCCTCACTGCCTGGTAGTAATTA